AAAAAACATATACATTTTATATTTGAAAACATAAGCAATAAAAAAAAATACTTTGAAAAATATGATTGTTCCCTATTATCAATAAAATGCTTGTAACATACAGTCACATGAAGTGCCAACGTCTGGTTGCGATGCTCATATTCTGCTAACGCTTCACGGCGCAGGGCACGAATCTAGCCGAATATCAGTTGCGTTGGCAAAAAATGAATATGCAGCCCGGTTTTACCAAATAGTGTGGCTCAGTTGTCTTTTAGATCTGAATTTACGACATCTTATGGACGTCTTCTAGAAGTCTCTTTTTGGTCTTCAGACGTTCAGGCGCAAAGCAGACAAGAAAAAGATGTCTTCAAGACTTTGTATGCTGTCTGGGTATAGAGGTAAATGTATTTTATCGGTAATATACTACTGTGTAGTTGTTTTAATTATGCTATCACGCAGTTAATGTTTTCTTTTTGAACAGCAGGTGCAAGATACCATCAGTGGAAAAGTATACTGGGGCAAAACCAATCGTGTGAGATAGGATTTTTGGATGATAATTGTAATGTTGATTTTTGAAAAATCACGAAATTCTACCGCCAGCCACATTTCCACTATTCAGACTCGTGGAAACTGTCGCCAAAAGCGAAAATAATGCATCACTAGTGTTCTAAAAATGCTTGGAAACCAGATTGAGGGACGTTAAGTTAAATTGCGACACGAAATATACCAGCTTTGACTTGAAATAGCTATTTATACAATAAGTTACGAAATGAGCGTCTTTTAGGCACGCGACGTGAAAATTGTCCAACGAGGCAAAGCCGAGTTGGACAACACGTCGAGTGACTAAAAGACATCGTTTCGTAACGTATTGTATACAAGATTTTTTCTACTGGCATTTTATAATAAAAAAAACACAATTTTATTTCATGTGAATAAGTCGATTACACCCAAAATCTTTGTCACCTGCTTTTACTTGACACCTGACACTTTTCATGCGATTTTCTTTTCAAAATTCGGCATCAATATTTAAAATCCTAGAAAGTAGGTAATAAAACAAAGTTCTGTTTTGAGTAACCCAAACGTTCAATTCAGTAATTCCATTTTCAATATTCATAATAAATACAAAACAAAATTCAAATATGTGTTTAGTGTTGTTTTTTATTTCTGAATAATGATTGACACTTTTAGGCACTAGTGCTTAAAAATTACTTTTACGCACTCATAAGTCACTTTTACGCATTCAAAAGTCACTTTTACGCACTGAGTGCCTAAAAGTAACTTTCACGCACTCAGTGCCTAAAAGAATGTCGTTTCAAAACTGAAATGACAATCGAAAAGTTGCTATTATGAAACGTCAGTAGAAAAAGTTCTTTATTTGTCACTCATTTGTAAATTTGTCACTCATTTGTAAAACGTCATTTATCAAGTCGAAACATAAACAACAAAAATTGAATTTTACCAGTTACTGGCTCTACTGACTTGTAAAATTGACAGCTAAACTGTAATAGTTATTTACCTAACAAATGCGGAAAGTGATACTTTACCGCACGCAACGGCAGTTGACCGAACGACGCGGAGCGGAGTTCGGTCAAGCCGTTAAGGGCGGTAAAGGCACTTTCCGCATGTGTTAGGTACAAAATTTTACCTATGAGTATCTACATCTCTAAAAAAAGTCATTGATAAAATTAATTATTGAATCAGATTAATTAATGAAATTAGATTAGATATAGAAATGATCAAAAATCCATATTCTGAAAAAAGAGAGGATTTCTGATTAAAAATATCAAATTTTACTTTACCGCACACTATGCGGTAAAGTGCACTTTACCGCACACTTTGTAGTCCACTTTACCGCATACTATGCTGTAAAGTTCACTTTACCGCACACTATGCGGTAAAGTGCACTTTACCGCATAGTGTGCTGTAAAGTGATAATTTCCATTTGCAAATACGTGCGGTAAAGTGCACTTTACCGCACGCTCGTAGGTAATAGTTATTTACCTAACAAATGCGGAAAGTGATACTTTACCGCACGAAACGGCAGTTGTCCGAACGAGGCGAAGCGGAGTTCGGTCAAGCCGTTAAGAGCGGTAAAGGCACTTTCCGCATGTGTTAGGTACAAAATTTTACCTATGAGCATCTACATCTCCAAAAAAAGGCATTGATAAAATTAATTAATGAATCAGATTAATTAATGAAATTAGATAAGATTTAGAAATGATCAAAAATCCATTTTCTGAAAAAGAGAGGATTTTTGATTATAAATATTAAATTCTACTTTACCGCACACTATGCGGTAAAGTGCACTTTACCGCACACTTTGTATTCTACTTTACCGCATACTATGCTGTAAAGTTAACTTTACCGCATACTATGTTGTAAAGTTAACTTTACCGCACACTATGCGGTAAAGTGATACTTTCTATTTGCAAATACGTGCGGTAAAGTGCACTTTACCGCACGCTTGTAGGTAAAAACTTTTTACAAGTCAGTAGGGTCAGGAGAATTATTTATTAAAATTGTATTACTTATGTAATAATTTGTCATTTATTGTTTACAAAAGAGTAACAAATAAATTATTGTACATCATACGCCAGGTATCAGTTTTTACTGGCTCTTGAAGGTGACAAGCTCGCCTGACAGCTCGCTAGTCATTTCCTTAAATCACCAGTAAAAACTGTTTTACCTGGCTAATAATGTAATAGTATATTACATACCGAGTAGGGAAGTGTTTCATTTCTGTCGAGAGATTTATATAGTCAATCGAGACGCGAAGCGTCGAGATTGACTATTAATCTCGAGACAGAAATGAAAACTTTCCTCCGAGTTTTGTATACTATTTTATTTGCAAGCACACCATTAATTATGATTAGTCAATCAATTTTGTTTAAATTAAAAAAATAAAACAAACATGCCAAAATGTGTCATTCACTGCTTTGACGTTTTTACCTGACATGTTCTCATTGTTGCCAGCAAAGGTAAATAAATTAGAGTGAGGGAAATCGGTGACGGAAGTCGAATAGGGAAATCGGTGAGGGAAATCGAAGAGGGAAGTGACACAGGTAAAATGTCACTTCCAAATTTTTAAAAAGTCAGTAATGACAAGATTACATATATGATTGCAAATAAAATACTATAAACCACCTTTCGAAAGATAAGGTAGCAAACTAGTGATACAATGAAGGAAGAAGGAAATTCGCCAGCTTCAAAAAATATGTACTTACCTAAATCATATTAATTTTAATTACGACCCACAAAAATGGAGCATTAATTTACAAGGAAATGCAAGAGAGCGTTAAATATATTATATTCTGGAAAATTGCCAAAGAATTGCCAGTCTGGTTTCAAACCATCAATCTCAATAAGCATACTTATGTGACATCGCGAGGTTCCTGAACCTGAAGATGAACCCATAAATTAGGCAACGGAAAGATATTAAAAGCAAGGCAGGGCTAAAGTATTTAAATTGTGGGGACAGATCTTGTCCGTGGAAAAAGTAAAGAAGTCGCGAATCAAAAAGTTGCAGAAACATTTAAAACGGTTAGTCCACATTATGTGCGTGCTGCGTGCTCTAAGTTATCAATATATGAATTTATTTTATTAGAAATATATAGTGAAAGTAAGGCAAAATCATATAGGTACCTATATGTAGGAATTTGAGACTTTAGTAGGTACCTATACATATAACCATCATCACTACTGGAAACAGGAATGATCTATTACCACAGTGTGTCCCGCTTAAAGGGGGTGTGCGCCAAAAAAACAACTTCATCTCAAAAAAAAGAGAAAAAAAATCTAAGAATAACAGTGAAATCCGCACCCCTCTATGACAAATAATACCGCAGATATGGCTCTATGAAGGTACCGCATCTCACCCTATGACGTCACGTAAGCTCAAGCGACGCACGAGAAAGTGGAGTTAATTAAATTTACATTTATGTTTTTCCTGTGTTACCTGCAATAATCTAAACCAAAAACAACCACTCAGGCGTGCCGGGAACAATCAAATTAACAATGCGGAGCGCGGCTGGAAGAAGTTTTCGTGACGTCACGAGAGCGTCGTCCACACTTTAAAGCGGTATATCTCAGCGATGGTTTATCGTAGAATAACGAGGTTTGAACAGTTATTCTTAGATTTTTTTACACTAATACTTTAATTTTTGGCGCACACCCCCTTTAAGGACTGACCACCCTTCTAAAATTTTTATTTTTTAACCGATTCAATTCATTTTTTTTGTCTTATAGCTACTCGAATTTGGCACTTATTAGGCTCATAACTTTATTTCTTCGGCTGTACTGGTGTAGAGGGTGTCCACATTTATAGGCTCAAATTTCAATAAGTACTATGAGGGATTTTTTTAGAAAAAATCTGATAGCAGATTCTTGTTTAGAATGTTCTAAAACCCAAATGTACTAATTTTCGTTCCAATATAATACAGGATGATCACAACAGATACAACATAGTTTTAGAACATCCTTAACCAAAACTTGTAGTAAGCTTGGCTCAAAATATAACATTTTTGTGGTTGGATTCATTAAATTGTTAAAATTTGTTGCCATCACCCTGTGTCGTATTGAAACAAAAATTAGTACATTTGGGTTTTAGACCATTCTAAACAAGAATCTGCTATCCGATTTTTTCTTAAAAAATCCCTAATGGTACTTATTGAAATTTGAGCCTATAAATGTGAACACCCTGTACACCAGTACAGCCGCAGAAATAAAATTATGAGCCTGATAAGTGCCAAATTCGAGTAGCTATAAGACAAAAAGAAAATTAATTGAATCGGTTAAAAAATAAAAATTTTAGAAGGGTGGTCAGTCTTTAAGCGGGACACACTGTATAATTTCTTCGTTTTGCTTTACGGTGTAGATGCCTAATTGACATTGACCAAAAGAAATGTTGAAGAGATTGAATTTTCGATGACGGTCTAAAGGATTACTGCTAGCGATTTCTAAAATTAGTTATTACTATGCTGGTAAGCAATGTTCAATAATATTTTTCTAACAATTCAACTTACCTGTCTTTTCTGAAATTTGGAAAAACCCACTAGCACTATCATCTTGATCCAATGAATATCTAATAGGTCGCGGCTGCCCTCTATCACCATCTTCTGCGTGCACTCTAGAATAGTGAACATTTTCAAACTATTGCAACAAAAATAGGAGATATATTACCGTAAAATTATGTCTCCAGGTTTTAAAGTCGAACTCAACGTTGTTGTAGGTGGTGCAATAGTAAAGACCGGCGGAGTATCTTGTTCGTCTATAACAGCTACCAATAAAGGCCATCCAGCGATATTTCTGGTGTCTTCGGCCTCGTTGGTCCATGGATCCTATACATTATCACATAATCCCATCACGAGTCAAAAGGTGCTAACTACTTACATTAGCCAATATTGTCAAATGATGTACAGTCTTTGTCTCATAATCCAGAGGTCGAACGAGTACGATCGTACCTTCAGCGTCTCTATTGGAAATAAGTTTTTGGTGGATGCCGAAATGGAGGGTGCCATAAAGTTCCAAGTAGACAGCTTTTAATTTGCTTGGACTGCCTTTTGCTATGATTGTACCTTTAACAAAATTTTCGGTTTTTGTCCAAATTTGTATCCTTTTTATTATCATTCCTAGTAGATAGAAAGATAAAATAACATAGCTCTATAAAGTACTTTATAGTCAAAAATTTGAAATTGCTGCAATGAACGAACGGCCATATAAGCATTTGAAAACTTTCTAGGCTGATAAATCATTATGGCTATCTGGAAATTTGCATAGACATAAAAGAAGTCTAATAATAAAACTGAAACTCAACTTTAGATTCATTTGCATAGATCGATAAAACCTATTTTTTTTCAGTCCTAATAATTTAATGGCGACATAATGTGTAGTTTGGCTGACTTGATAATTTTATGCGTGCCTATTTATCATGTAAAAAACAATCGTTATCCATCAGAGTACAATAAAAAAAAACTTTCCATATGGAAAACCATTATTTTTGTCTATATAACAAAAAAAATATAATAATTTCAAGTAATTCCTTGAATAATGAAAAAGGCCAATAATCGAATTGATATTTCCTCAAGTGAAGGCTTTTAACCTTAACAAAGTTTGAGGTCAGTATTCTGGGAAAGTATAAATAGTTGATAAAAAAAAGTTGAAAATAATTCCTCATTATTGATTAACAATCTGAATGTAAAAGTTGGTTCTTACCCAATTCGGTGTTTCTTCTAGCGTTTTCAGAAACCATCAACAATGTTAAAGCACCTGGAAATATCTTTTCAATTGGAGTTGTAGCGTTTGTAGCTCTAAACGAACAGTTCATGGCTACTTGTTGGCCCCTTTGGTTTTTAACTTCCAATTTAAAATCGTAAAATCTTGCCGCTTCTAATTTCTTTTTCAGTATCAAATTTGCTTGGCACACCTAAAAAAAAGTTTTTAGCAATTTGTTAACCTTTGGTAATCGCATCTAACCGAGTTAAATCTAGAACAATTTAGAGCGTCTATAGAAACGGTAGATGTGTCTTTAAGATCAAAAACTAGAGGATAATCGAAGGCAGTATCTGAAGCTCTTAATCTGTATATAACTGAACCGACAGCAGCGTCTGCAGGGATTAATACATCGTTAAGTAAAGCCGTTGTATCGAAGGATAAAATTGCTGAAACTGGAAAAAAATTCGCTGTAAAATTTAAAAAATCAAAGTTTTCAAAAATAAAATTAATGTAAAAACGTACCTACCTGTAATAGGTCCACAGTAACAGCACACGATAACGAGCAGGCCCATTGCAGACTGAACAGAGGGAAAATTCGTAAACGAATCGCATGTTGGTTTCTTGACTGTGGAAATTAGAAGTTATTAAAGTTTCTGAAGGATGGAATAGTGAAAGATTCAGTGGCAAGTGCTTTAATTATACTGGTGCGTAATTCGATTACGATTTTTGGAAAAATTGTAGTTATGAAGTTATTGCTGATACCTATCAGAAAAGTATGATAGTAGTCAATGGAGCAGAATCAACATCATTGCACGCACTATGAAAGATGACAAGACGAAATAAAGTCTGTTTTTTTTTTAAAGATAATTCCCGAAGTCAAAAATTTAGTAACTATGTTGGCAACACAAGCCTTTTCTACATAAAAAAATTGAAAGCTTTGACAATTTTACATTGTATTGCCAACACAATGTCATTTTGACTTTTATCTTTAAAAAAAAAACAGATTTTAGAATAATACAATAATTAAAGGAATATGATGAAATATGCTCAACGGGAATTTATTGGAAAAATGCAATGGATCTAATCAGATACTGTGTAATTTGCTGAACTCATTTAATTTAAAGATGCAGGTGGATCGGCCAACCCCCTTTCCACATCTTCTTCCTTATAAATTTCAGTCAGATTGAAATTCAGTGTGTAACGATCAATGCCGGTGTAGTATCATCATTGTTCAGGCTTGCCAAGTGGATTTACTTTCAAAATAGGATGAATAATAATTCTTCTAATAGATCGAGGGAAACTTGGAGAATTGTGAATGACCTGAGGGGTAAGTTTGGGAAAATGTTTCGGTCACTTCAACTCTCAGCCAAAATTTCATAAGGAAGTGATCCCCAGAACATATCCCGCAATTCGTCATTATTTCGGTGTACAATCATCCATCGGAGGAAACTATTCGCAATATAGGTAGTGTAACAAAATCAATAGCAAATTCATATTTTCGGTTTAAGTTCATCTTTCGTGGAAAAAGTTTCATTTTTTTAGGTAGCTAAAATGTGGCCCGAATGAAATTTACAAACACATGGAGTTCTGCGAACGGCGTAATCTGTTCGAGGGTAAAAATCACTTGAAAAGCCAGAAAAGTATCGAATTTTATAGCTTCAAGATTATTATTGCTGTAACCCCAAATTGATAAATATATAGACAAAATTTATGTTTTCTGAGATAAACACTAAACTTTAAACTGATTTGTCGACTGTACCAGATCCCATGTGGTTGTAATAATTTATTCAAAGTCAAGGATAATCTCTGACAACCCACGTTTTATGACGAACCCAGATATCAGGTAACTGATAGCGCTGCAAAGAATGATATATATTCGAAGCATATATGTGTGTAGTGGAGCAATAATTACATGAGCTGGATTTTTGAGATACAATAACCAATTGTATAATAATATAATTACCAAGGGTTATTCCTTGGGTGAAATGTTAACTGTAAGATAATCAAATGCTTAGTTTTAATTAAGATATAGGTAGGTGAAGATAGAAGTGATTAGGCAATTATTTTATTATTATATTAATAGAGGATAGTTTAGTTCATTTCACACCCTTGATAATTAGGTTATAAATTAGGGAACTTTTATTTTATACATTCAATTAGGTTAGAAATTCGGGAACTTTAATTTTTTTCATTTGATTAGGTTAGAAATTAGAGAACTTTTATTTTATTCATTTGATTAGGTTAGAAATTAGAGAACTTTTATTTTATTTCCTTGATTAGGTTAAGAATTAGGGAACTTTCATTTTATTTACTCGACTAGGTTAGAAATTAAGAAATAAAAATAGAAAGCATATTAGGTAATTAGAAAAGGGAAAGGTTTTCAATTAAAAGGGAAAACATTAAAGGTTCAATTAATAATTTGACCACATGTAACTAGCGAAGTCTGTTGGAGAGCCATCAAACTGGATCACAGGGTGGACACTTTGGATGGAGGTTGAATAACTTGATAACCAATGGGAACACGACAAGAAACCAAAGGGTACTTTCAGCGAATCGTTGAAAGCTAAGAGGGATTGGAGATCCTCGACTTTGTTGATTCTCGCAAGCCCGGTACTAAGGGGTAGTGAATGGATGGGCTTCTAAAGTGGTACCCAGAGGGTGGTTCCTAAAATATATCGAAAGTTGGGAAAACTAGGATAAAAAATTTAGAGTTGGGAAAAATTGGTAGACAAAAATTTGCGCACCTTATTCGCGAGGACTAATTAAAATTAACATAAGGATCGTGTCACGTGTCGTAATGAATTGCAAAATCACCGGACAACAGAATGACGAAATCCCAATGGTCGCAGAGAATTTCTTGCGTTGCACTTTGCACTGCACTAACGCCACTAGCCTGTGGCAGTGGCACGTGACACTTGTGGCAATAGTAGCATTAGCACCACTAGCGCTATATAGTATATTAGGTAATCCAAACTTCTTATATTATGTTGCCTTCTGCGTTCTGCGCATTCTTCGCTCGCTATTCAGATTTCAGCATAACTCTGAATCCTGGACTTGAAGAAATAGTTTTTAAAAAGTTTCACTTCTTAACACGTGTACGATGCTACACATGATTTTTCTGAAGTGAAACTTCTTACGCGGCGGTCTGATTTGGACGAGAATGGAATAACACGTTTTGGCAAATTTCGGCACACGAGAGACGAGAGAGAAGAAAGATATAACGTAGAGAGGCGGAGAAAGACAGCGAATGATAATGACAGCCGACGAACGATTGACACAAACCAAATGAGAGAGCGTGACTCACGGCGAGTTTTTGTGAACCCAAGTAAGAATAGGTAATGCGCGTATTACTTCGCAGCGTGACGTGACGCAGTTTTGGTCCTGCGAAACGCAGTGTATTTGCCGCAGTGGCAGTTTTTCTCGTAGAGTCACAGTGCGTGTTCTGAATGTTTCGAAAATTAATTGAGGCCGTGCGGATTCGACAAGTTTTGCGAACAAAACTAAAAACTGAAAAGCAGCAGTTGCCATTTTATCTGCACTATGGGTCTGCCTGCAAAGTGAAAACTGTCATTGTATTTGCGCGGTTACTCTTGTCAAGCGCCGATACCCTTGTGACGTCAATACAGATGCGCGTTTATCTTTTGTGTAGCCTTTTTATACTCCGACTCATTCGCTACATGTGATTTTTTTAATGTTTTAATAAAGTTGGGAAAATTAGGAATGTCACCCCCCCCCCCCTCCCAAACCAGAGGCCTTCGCTACGTCCCTGTTCGCCACTAGTTCTTTATACTAGGAGTTATCGTCGGAAATTTAAGCACAAAGTCTCAACGAGTTCTCGATCCGTTTCTCATCATCTAGTTCATCTGCCGCCCGGTGTTTTAGTAAAAGCTCTCCATAGAGGTAATAGTTATTTTCTTTTCAATTTCAATTCCAATAAAGTGTCAGATTTAGTTAAACATTGTTTATGGTCTATTAATTACATAAGGTATTCTTTTTTAGTGTTTTTATTTTATTTTACTTTACCTTTTTTTTATCACTATAGTATATTCACTAACTAGTGCGGAAAGTACTTGATTGCTTGCCGAACTCCGCTGCCCGTCGTTCGGCAAACTGCAATCGCGTGCGGAAAAGAGACTTTCCGCACGAGTTAGGAACACTATTTTTTTTCTACGAGACGATAGGTAATATTTTTACCTACATATTTATTAATTT